CCCCACTTCCTGAGGGCTTTGGCTGCTGTTGTTGACATCATGATGGCCACTCCCTCGGTGCTCGTAATTGTCTTCTGGGTGACCGGAATTGAATATTGTCTCTATGGTTGGTAGTTGGCACCTACCACATCCGTTCCATCTGCTCTCGCAGATTCCCAACACTTCTATTCCATATCTTCTCATTTCTGCGGCTACTCGGGCAGCCCTCCAGCTTCGTACATTGTATGAACATTCCACGTCCTCATCCTTATTTTTGCTTTCATCGAAAGAAGACACATCGGCTGACTGGCTTCCCGAAGGCTTCCACCGGCCTGCGTCATTTCACTTCCCCGATTCCAGAGAAAAATAAGGTTACTGTTTATATTTCTAGAATTTTTAATATATTGGTGCATTGAAGTTTCTGTAGCGGTTTGGTTGAGTTTTGGAGGTGAAGTTGTTAGCACACCCCCCAACCCTCCCTCTTTATCCGGGCTTAGGACCGTCTAGAAAACTAGCGAGGTAGTAATCTAGGCGAGGTTTAGTTACTTATGGCTAACTCGATAATCACTGACCCCTTTATTTAGTGTCGTTTGAATTTCCATTTTATTACTATGAGGTTACTCGGTATTTACAGTGACCTTCTTTGGTAGTCTTTCCGTTGGTGTCTGTATCTGAATAATTGCTTATATGATAAGGCAACCGTCTGCACTCTTGACATAATTGATCGTAATCGTCTATATTTTGATCACGATCTTCCATTCCACTTCCTTCGATCCTTTGAATATTGCCGTCATTTTCGACATTTTATTACCCTCTTGCAAAATGAACTGCTTATTCACTTAAAGTACAGTAGAAAGAATTATCTTACAGTTATGAATCTCACTTCCAGTTCAGCATGAGATCCTAGAAGGTTCATTCACCTTGAAAACTATGTGAATCTTAATCTTTAATACAAGTTTACAAGGTATTAAAGTTGCTATAAAGACATCCACATCATTATAATGCTGAAAGGAAAATCATAATTTCCTTTTGGTAAAGTTAAATTTTGGCATCCACTACAAACAGTCTACTGGAGAAATCTCAAAATGATCTCTAAGCAGCCAATCCCGTGATTCAACATGATTATCACTCATATATTTATTGTGTTCAAAGTTCCCCATCCATCTGGTTTACTAGTTTTACATTAAATGCTGGATCATTGCTTAACCGGGAAGCTTTACCATAGTACAAGAAGAAAGGAATTAGGCCGTCTATACATGTAGGAATAGAGTTTATAAACAAATTTAGCAGTCCTTACTTAGCTTTTCTTTGACTAGTTGTTCAAGATTATTCAGTTTGTGTTATGATGCTAGATCTTTTGTCACGAGGTAACAGCTTAACTACTGACCAGTGCCCACTTAACTGGTAAAGCAGAACACGCGAGAATCAGCGGTAAAACCAGGTTCATTTTTTATGACAAAAGTGACTGTATTTATACAGAAAATAAGGTAGACTGGAAATCAACCAATCTGGCTGAGAGTTGGAATTGTGCAAGCGTCCAATCAGAAGCAGGAAGAATTGCATGTCAACGACTTGTTAATAGCGCGATAATAACTTGACTGAGACATGATAATGACCTGATAGTTGCATGTGTTTTGCCTCTTCCTAACAGTTTGACATCTCTTTTTTTTTAATGAAAGACACTTCAACTAACTTGTCGTTACTACTATATAATTTCCAATACAACCATATTGTTCTGCTTTATTACTATTCCTTTGTCTCACACCTCTGTTTATTGTCTCTATTATGCATTTCTTCTAATTTCTTCGCTTGCTTTGTGTGCTACATGAAGTGTGGTGACTTGAACTGTTGCACATCGGTGCAAAGTTCTATGTTGAAAACAGCCAGACAAACAGATAATTAGTTATATATCCAATTCATTTTTTCCCTAACACGCAGTATAAATCACTTTTCCAAACGGGTTTAACCTATTTAATCTAAAGTAATTAAATGCATTCGAATCATCGTCTAGATAATAATACATGTGCAATGCAATGGGTACAAATTCAAATCTTGCATCGACTGACATACAAATAACCTGTCGATTTTTATGACATTAGATAGTTGGAGGTAATCGGTAGGAAGCCTTGGACCTTGGTTTCGTACTAGTTGACATTCACCAGTCAGTGGGGCGTATCTGCAACCATGAACGAACTCATGTCCCTCCTTCTGAGATTTAAACCCGCGTCAGACAGTGCTGAAGTCAGAGACGTTACCACTGAGCTTGCTGATTTTTAATCAGAACACTGTTCAATGCTTGGCTGGTATATATTTCTCAAGTCATATGAATGAACTCTAAGAAAAGAATAAATATATCTCAGAAAAAATGCATCACAAATCAACGGCAGCTAATATTATTTTAGAAGTATTTACGCTTCTTATATTAAACAACTTAAATTACTATTATGTCGCCAAACTTCACTGACATTCAGTGAATCTGAATTTACAAAATATGTGTTTAGATGAATCTAGATAAATCAGATAATTTATCGTTTTCTTTTCTATTTTTATTTTTGGTTCCACCTGTAAACCTTTTTTGAATGAAACTTCTGAAGAATATGATTTCGCTTGTTGAGTTGACTTTTTCTTCAAGGGTAAATATGCATCAAATACCAAACATTTAGCAAGATTTGATAAGTTTTATATTGATTACCTCTGAGATTGTTAATTTTTACGAATCACAGAATGGAATGTTGCCAGTGGTATGTAAGGTATTGGATGTAAATTGTTTTGATATGCTGAAGTAGACATCTGCAATGACTTTTGATTAGTATAAAAAAGAAACTTCATCTCTCCACTTGCGGTTTTAACTAGCGGTGGAATCCAAGAAGTGAATTTCACTCCATTTGTTTCTCCTCAGCTGAACTTACCTGCCTCTCAGTGACTGAGAGTATTTTCACAGAGATTCGAATATACCACCCACTGTTTCAAAAGCTAAAGCATTATGCATTTCATTAAATAACACTTTCATTGACCATAACTAAAATCGTTTCTTTCATTTTTAAATTCACATCTGGTACTTCCCAAAAATTAGCGTTCTGCACATGTCCTTTAGCGTTGTTCCAAAAAATTAACCGTTTGTTATTCATCTCTTGGTGTTCTGAGTGCCTTCAAACTTTAGGTATTGAAGTCTTACAGAGAAAATTTCGCTTTTGCTAGATTAAGTTGTTAACCTCACGCTGAATGTTTTCTCTTTGTGATACTGCTTACTACTGGTTGCAGGCAGTTGACCAGTAAGTCTACCGGGAATTTGAAATTAAACCTTCCACGTTGTAGTTGCTGAGCATTCTCCTATTGAACCATAGACTCACTAATGTTGAAATATGATTAAAATGAAGGAAATTTTGTATCGTAATGCACATTATTAATAAATGCATGCTTAGATTGGATAATGATTTGTAACTAGCGTAATGTGTTTAGTCGTTTTATTCTACCGCAGACTGAATTCTATGAGTCAACTTTGCTATGTGGCAATCAATCTAGGTAGTTCGCCATCACGGTACACTTTGAGTTGTTTAAGTTAGACGGTTGGAGGCGATCGGCCACAGGAAGCCTCGGACACACCTAGGTCTCGTGTTAGTTGGCACTCACCAATCACTGCAAGGCCTATCTGTATTCACATTGAAGGAACTTATGTCCCTTCTAAGATTTGAACTCGCGTCAGCCGGTGCTGCAGTCAGAGACATTATCACTGAGCTCATCAGGCTGACGATTTCCCTCCTGTAGGACTGTATTGAATACTTGCATAGGATACTAGTTAGTAACTAGTGTAATGTGTCTGTTCCTTTGTTTGGTGCAGACTGAATTCTGTCATACGTTTTGTTTACATTTTCTCGCGGGATATATTTTCTTAAAAGTTACACAAGTGCAGTTGTACAGCTTGATAACAGATTTGCTTGAAACAGTCTCTTCGCTTAGTTATTTTTTATTTCCACACCGTATTTTGGTACAGGTATGAATTTTCAGCACGTGATATCGGTAGCATAAATTTTGCAGGCCGATCATAGATTTCAGGTGTGCGTTGGCAGAGGATCAAACCTCGAACCATGTGCATGATCGGTGAGAGTCCCAACCTCTGTGCCATCGACGCACAAAAACCAAGGAGTACTGAGCAGCTGCCGTTTCATTCCAGTTCGGGAATCATCAGCAGTACGCTCCCACTGCGATTCGAACCCAGAACCTTCTGGTTACAAGGTGAGCTCAGCCACTGAGACCCAATTATTTACACAGTGATACATCCATTGACTGGGTATTGGTTTTCAGGAGAACCAAACACATTCATCCCTGCCTCTTGCGAGACGAGACCGGCATGCGGGATTATCCTGTGGCGCAACCACTCGAGAGCCCTCTCCCTCGGTGGACCAAGACAGTCTTCCACGTGTTAATCCACTTGTGTGATGCTCAAACCTCTGTGAGACAACCTATTGACCGTTATTCTGAATATCTGATTTGATTGAAGGAATTCTAAACTATATAGAAATAATAACAGTTTTAATGAAATATATATATATATATATTTATAATCCATAACATAAGAAAGCACAGTATTTACTCCACAGTGTCCCCGCACAATGAATAATTTCATAACATGAGCAGATATGTTAAAGTAGTAAAAAGGATTGTACATGATTGTCGTGAAACATAACAGAACATGCGTTAATTACAGTGTTTTAGGCATACATGATGTGACCACCTTCACAGTACAAGGCACACATGTAATCTACATCAAAATAAGCAGTCAATTAAACGAAAAAAATTGTCAGTCATCAACATGCCTGATAACTTATTTCAAAGACAAGTGAAATTACAAATAGGTGTAAGTTAACGCCGGAGGGAAATGTGAATGAAGTCTTAAAACCTTTTCAATTGTCTCATCTAAATTTAACTGCTTTTTTCACAGCTAATACGCGTAAAGGATTTATGGAGAACAAAAAATGTTGAGTTTATTAAGTTACATTAAAAAAAAAACAAAAGATTTCCTTTTAAGAATCTTTAAACAATTTATTATTAATATCATTATTACTATTACTATTGGTGTTATTCATAATATTACTAATGTTAATTAAAAAGTGTTGGGAAATCGTCGATTGGTTTAGCGTATTTAACTGATTAGAAATTGGTAGAATGTCAACCGGTGGTTCCGAAATATTCATGACAGCTTCTGTCTCAGACTGACTGCTAGTCATTTCTGCATCTTCTACTGGATTCATTTTTATAGTCTCCATTGTAGGCTGTTCTACTTGAGCATTGCTTGATATCTGATCACCGATTGGTAAGACTGAGTAGTCCTAGATATAATAATTATTAAAATTTTATTAATACATTAAAAAAGCTCTGCTAGTAGGGTAAAAAGAGGTTCTTAAAACTGTTAACAGTTAAGGTAAAAACCTATATGAACACGTACAAATGCATGTCTCTTTAAGATTTAGTCTTATCCATTACTTATTTCTTCAGACCTTTATCAACAGCTGTCTTCGCTCTATAATGAAGATCAGATGGCCGGGACAGAAAGAATTACCAGCAAAAAACTATGGGAACAAACGAAACAAGAACCAGTCGCCCAACAAATATGCAAGAAAAAGTGGAGATGGATTGGACATTCGCTGAGGAGACCGCTAGGTGACATCGCGCGCGCGTCAGGCCATCGCTCGAGTGGAACCAGGCCGAAAGGGAAGAGGCGAGTAGGACATCAGTGGAAGGGTGACATGGAGGAGATGGTGTGAAGAGACAGGAGTTGAAAGAGTATGGACTAACATGGATGCAGGAGAAAAGTACAGCAGGAGATAGAAGCAAGTGAAGGCTTGCAGTTGAAGCCCAATGTTCCACTAGGAACCCGAGGGAACAATAATAAATAATAATAATTTGTTCACTGAGGAAACATTTCCATGAATCTTTTTGCAACCCACTGCTCTTTATTATTATTATTCACTCCTTGCCTTCTGAGTGAAACGAAGAATTTGTCGATACATATCTTTTTTTTTTATATTTACAGCTTGATTCCACACTGTATTTTTGGTACAAGTATGGAATTTCCAGCATGGATATCGGTAGCCCAAATTTTGCAGGCCGACCATAGATATCAGGTGTGCGCCGGCGTGGGCTCGAACCCCGGACCATGTGCATGGTCGGCGAGAGTCCTAACCACTGTTATACTATGTTCTCCCTACTACTTCTAGATGGCTCCACGACCGTCAACATGGTTTCACTTCCCCTTCATATAACATCCTCCATATGATTCTTAAATCTCCAGTTCATCGCTTTCTTTTCGGCGTCTACTTGAAAGCCTGATACATGATGGGTGTCATACAAGTATCCATTCAGCACCTATAAATTCAATCTATCTGCATTTCCTACTGCATATCCCACTAATCGGTTCACATAAACACTAAAGTGCACCTTTCCAATAAACTTCTTAATATATATTCTTGATTGCTAAGAATGATATATATATATATATAAGTCATTTGATTTCACTCTGCTAAACCATTTAACCAACTGACTTTTCTATAATAAATGTGTAGTCTTTTTAATCTAATTAGGAATTTGGTATTTTTATTGCCCATCCAAAGTCACAATGAAATGATGTACTTTACATAAACCTATAGGGAGGCTTTATGTGCTTATGGAAAATTTCGTGACATTCATGACATTCCCCAGTCACCAACACCACTGTAAGTTGGTTTCTCCTATAAATACGTGAAACAGGAAAATCATTTAATTAAATTTTTTAATTTTCCCGTCAATTGATTGGACCGGAATGCTCGGTCTCAGATTGACTTGTCGGCTTCTTGTGCAGGTGCTTCGACGATATCTGGGTATTTAATTAGTATTCAGTTGGTGGATGGTGACTAGCATTCGAATCCAGGATGCCATTTCCTCCTATATGGGACTCGTCATCTGGATGTGCCTACATTTCTCAGTGAGTGATGATGAGACTAGGAGACAGGTGTTAAGGCAGGTTCGAATGAAGAACTTATTTCAGGCTAAGGATATGAACACTCTTGGTTGGGACGTACGTTTCTGGGTGGAGAAGCAGCCCAGTAAGCTTGGTAGTCAATAGAGGAAAACGTACCTGGCAATACATCGCTTATCCACCAGCAATATCACTTACACATAAATAATAGTGGAACCAAATCCTTTTTTGGTGGACAGTAATTTACGTCAATGTTTATGTCCTCAGTACTGGTCATGAGAAAAATGAGAACAGAGGCCTTGCGTAGGCGGATACAGTCAACACATAGATGATCTGACATTCATGAAACAGTCACAAAGAGATGCAAGGTTAACTTTTGTCAGAAACAACCAATCAGAAGACTGTGTTTTTCTGCTAACAATAACCTATAATATGTACATGAAAATCTATAAATATGTGTTGATTTCGTAAATAAACGATCTGTTGACTGGCCCTTCTCTTCTGCTGTTACACTTTTGAACTTAAAAGTGCTTCACTACTTGGTAAAAGACTATATGACACAACGTAAGTATCAATTATATTCAGATAAAATAGCAGTGCAAAGACATGTTGAGAATAATCATAATTTTGTGGTTTCCACCTTGGAATTCTCCACTGTGTTTCTAGGTAACTAACTATTTTGAAAACTGTTATTCCCTGGAGTTATTTTGAGTTTGCCTACTAACTGGTTATATTGGTCTCATTCTCTGTTAAAAATCTCAGCTATTTGTATGGACGCTTCAACAGTATCTTGAGACAAGGATGATGTAATAGATTGGAGGTGGCTAGCAGTGGAAACTTGGCGGCATGATTCCTCGTTTTTGGGACTTGTTGACTGTGTCTCTGGTAAGAATAGCATTACTCATTGGAGACGCAAGCAAAACTACTAAGGGAGGTCTTGAAGAATATGAATCACTCGTCCTGAAGCACACTAATGGGCATCAGAAAGCAAACAAAAATAAGATGCCGTTCCAATTTACAATTACTAAAAAAGGAAACTTGATACTTAAGATGAAATGATACTACTAATAATAATAACTAAGTAGGTATCAGTGCTTATTATTTCGTGTTTATTTGTCACATATCTCTTTCTAAATGACTTTTACAACAAAAATCATTTCACTCTCTTTTTTCACTCTCAAAAGCTCAATAAGCTTTCGTTTACAAATCAAACCGTCTTCTCAATGTCATTCCCTGTTGTCCAATCTACCACTGTCTTTACATTTGGGTTCCACCTGCAGCCTAGCATATGACGTCATCCATTAGCTTACTCGGTGTAAATATTCAACTAATCTCCATTTCCTTCCCCGTATTTTTGAGCAATGAATTCCTTATTCGTGTGCTGTTGGGATTCATTTTTGCTTCTCCTTTCTGTCTAGTCTGCTAAATGTTACATGTTAAAAATCTGACCTAAACAAACTGGTGGTTAGCACTCATGACGTGTGCAATATAGATGGCACTGAAATAGACACCAAGTCGGAAATTTATTATCTTGGCGTTCTTCTAACTGCTGATCTTTCCTGGTCGTCTCATATCTTGATGATTTTTAAGAAAATATTTTGTCTTACATTCTACATCAGGAAGTTAAAACATTCTGGTATAAACCAACCCTTACTCTGACGATTCGTTAAATCTTGAATCCTGCCTATTATTCTCTATTGTTCCCCCTTCGTTTTTCGAGGGCTACTGAAGAAGGACTATATCTTATTACGTAGGGTGTTAAAGGTTGTCAGCAGGGTAAGAAACGTGTCACTTAACCGTTTTGTAAATATTCTGGTGGACAGGCATATGGACTAAATCCATTTTATCTAACTCATACCACCTTCATCATTCACAACTCCCCCCTTGTATCTCATCAGGCAGAACCAGAAGCCAATATAGAAAACTATATACTCGCACTAGCAAGTACAAAACTCAACTATTCCATACTTAGCTCGTGTTCTGTGCGATAAAGAAAGCATTAGGCGTGATACCTATAACTTATTAAATAATCAACAGAACAACTAGATCTCGTCTTCTCAATTCATGTTGTGGTGAGAGCAGGCTGCTAGCCAACTGGTAGACATTAACCTACGTCAATGTCTAGGTCACTAATATTGGCCGTCAGAAAATATGAAGAAGGCTGATTCAACAACCAATCACAGCCAACTTAACGTGGGCAAATATGATTCGCAGATAGATGGCTCCACTTTTCGATGTTACCCGAAACAACCAATCAGAAGACCGCGTCTGTCTACTTGCATAAGCTATAATAATGTAGAAGAAATATATATAAATACGTGTTGATTTCCGTAATAAAACGATCTGTTTCCGGCCCTTGTCTTCTGTTGTTACAATATCATTTATAAGTAGAACGTTTTCTTTCTTTCTCTACTTAAAACATTCTTCTTCGTTCTCTCACATTCTGTATGTCTCGACCTTTTTGTTACCGCTTACGACAGTATATATGCTAGAATCTACTTTTCTAACACCTTTAAACACTCTGTTCAATTTTGGCTTTGCAACCGACATGCCAATATGTTGTTGTCAAAACTAAGTGAGATTACACTTAATGTATGTAGAATTGCATTTATTGGTAATGAACTAACTGGATGCAATACTGTAGTAAAATGCTGAGAATTCCATTCGGTATCACAAGTGCTGTTTTGGAATAAAGCAAATTATTATCAGTTACATGCCCTCCACTATGAAGCCAGCAAAAGGCAACTATTGATGAAAGTCTGTAGTCATTTATTGGAAATGGTTTCGGTAATACTCCAGGTCACTGAACCATATAGAAAAACTAGTCTGAGATAAGTGTTGAAAAGAATGAATCTTGTCCATTATGCTGGATGTTGCAGATTTATAGATTAATTTTCCAGCCTTGCCCCTGACATCGACTTCAGTGCCGCCTATATTCAAATGATGCTGCCAAGGTAAGTAAAAGTCAAGATCACCAATTTCCTCCTTGCGTTCACCTGTTATCCCAACTTGGTTATCTCTCTTGCCAGCTTGTTGATTTTTACTTGCAGATATTCTAGTTAGTGTGACATTAGTCATAAACCTTGCAAGAATTCTGGATCTTTTAATCTCTTTTTGTATATTCCGAGTATGACGCAACTGGTTTATTAGCCAGTCCCAACCTGGCAAAAAGAGGGACGGGTAAGAGAACGGCTAGTCAACCAACCCTGGCTAATTCATCTAATCGATATAAAAAGATTCAAAGTAGAAAAAAGAAGAAAGAAAACGTAAATATTTCACTTTCCACCATCTTGTCCACCCCGAATTCATCCTATAATCAATATATGAAAATCACTCAGAGTAGTCCAGAAATATTCGGCTAGTGACTTCGCTGCACAAAAGTTATTTCAATACATAACCTGATATCACATTATCTTAAAGATAATAATCATTTTATTACATCCCTATAATGAACATCACCTCTAAGATGTCCTGTAAAGTCACACATTTTGTAGTGACATGATAAAACAACTGGTAACTCATTAATCACTTACAACGTGTGATATCTGGGCACTAGTTGTAACCGGTGGTGCTTCCTTTACATCCGATTTAGTTGACTTTTCAATAACTTTAGGCTCGTTAGCTGAAATAAGTAACAAAAGTTAATGATGAGAAGAAATTTCACGGAACAGTTTTTGTAGATGTTTTTCATCAATTCACCATAAATAATAAACGTTAGAGTAACGAATCTGAAGCAAAAAAAAAAATAAGCTGAACCACATGACGTTATAAGTATAAATAAACACTGTTTAATAAAACACACTTCATGTTGATTGCCATCTATAAATCATAAAATAATAAGGATACAACAAGTGGGGGAGGGACATTCAGGTCATCTTTTCTGAGATATTATTATTTCCTTTAATTCATCGAGGAACAAAGGGCTTTAGCCGTACACCTTCATTGCATTCCTTTCTCTGCTAGTGTTTTTACCTGGCTTCAAGTCTACCCAAATGCTTTCATCTCCTCTTCATATGACCTCGTCCATGTCACCCTCACAGTGACGACCAACTCGCCGCTTCCCTTTCGGGTTCCACTCGAACGATGGCTTGTCTAGTGATGTCACTTTATGGTTTCCTCAGCGTATGGCCAATCCATCTACATTTCTTCCCGCCTATTTGATTCACAATCGGTTCCTGGTTCGTTTGTTCATTCCCAGAGATCCCTGTTGCTGATATTTTCTGACTGGTCATCTGATATTGAGTAATGAGCAAAGACAACTGTTAATGAAGGTCTGTAGTTTGTTAGAGGTGCTCTTTATGACGCGCATTGCAAGTCTCTGATCCGTGTAGACTTTAGGGATAACTAGTAGTGAAATTGATAATGCAGGTATCATCTTATTTAGAACTAAACAGTCAATGGCACTGCTTCCACAAAGAATTAAACCTGTCACATAGATTGTCTAAAACGTCAAAGCATCGAATTGATGATATTAGATAGTTGCAGGTTATCGGCAGGAAGCCCTGTACCTAGGTTAAGGCATCATTTGATAGCTTAACGAGTAGGGAATGTCACCTCTTGTGCAAAACTGATGAAAAAACGCATTTTTCAAATTTATAGATTTCATTTATATATGTCCACACCAAGTTCACTTGTAACAGTTTGAAAAAATTTGGGCATCGGGTAGACCTACACGCCATAGGATCAGGCCACAAAATTGAAATAATCCAGATAACTTCAAAAATCACAAAGAACGTCTAATATCAGAAGAAGCACTTCATATCAAGTGGAATCCAAATGGCCTGAATAGGAATGATGGACTAGAACAGAATCTCACCTGGTTACAACACCTCCCTCCCTCCCTCTCCAATTAAGCGACAAAATCAACACGAATGTGATAAGCAAGTTCACTATGTAAACACACACTGCTTTTATAATTTTACACACTGATCAAAGCCAACAATCTACACTTGATTTTGTTATCTTTACTGATTGGTCAATTTGACAACGCAAAAATGACCCCAGACAGACGAACGAGGATCAAGTTAATAAACTTGATTTTGATATCATAACAGACGTACTATTTATTACCTTTGTTATTTGGTTTAGTGATCTTGATTGCTATTTGATTTTCAATATGTCCCTTTAACTTGACCTAACTTGTCTACTTTCTCACCCCTTAACTCTTTGTTATATATATCCTGAGTGGATTTGGTAAATTCCGGTTTAATAATACTTTGATAAAGCTATCGGCAACATTAAATAGCGAAACATCAGTAAAAACAATATCGCTTTGTTTTTCATTCATTGGGAAATACAAAAACTGATGTCAGCTCATGATTAAATCCTCCATGCAATCAAACAAAATCCCTACAAAAACCAATACTTGAAAATTCATCTGATGCTCACTAGTGACTGGCCCTATTCAGGCAGTTAACCTGGGGTTCTAGTGGGAAGCCGTGACCAGTAGGGTACAGCAGGTCGAAGATGAGGCAGTAACTCATCGAAGAAGACATTGCGAAGTGGTCGCGCTATGTCGTGAACTGGCAGAAGTTAGAATTCAAGGACCATTGGATCGGGTCCCAGTGGCTCAATGGTCTACGAGCTCGCCTTGTAACCAGAAGGTCCTGGGTTCGAATCCTGGTAGGTGCGTACTGCTGAGGAGTCCCAAACTAGGACGAAACGGCTGTCCAGTACTCCCAGGTTTTCCAGTGGTTCTCTAACTGATGTCAGCTCATGATTAAATCCTCCATGCAATCAAATACAAAAACCTTCATTATAATGATTATAGATTTGATATTTGTGAACCGAAGTAATCAATCATATTTCATCAGGTAGACCTCCTTGAACTTCCTTGGCACTAACAAATAAACAACTTAAAATTCGAAGCAATATTAGTACTTAGGCGTGTTATCGAAAAAGTCGTATGACAAAATGACGCTTAACATATCAACCTAGAAATACGAATGTGGAAACAGAATTATCAATCAATAACTAACGAATATGATTACTGCAATATAGCAAGAACTAAAATAAGAACCGTCTATATTCAATCCATTGTCTATGAGCTTGCCTTGTAACCAAAAGGTCCTGAGTTCGAACCCTGGTGGGTGTGTACTGATGAAGATTCCCAAATTAGGACGAAACATCTGTCCAGTAATCCTAAGTTTTTCAATGGTTCTCTGATTATTGTCAGATCGCGATGAAATCCTTCAACCAATCAAACAAAATCCATACAAAACAAATTCTTAAAAATTGACTGTAAATATTTACATTGTTTCCATGTAATTATGCATATTTATTAGTCCCTTCATAGTAACCAGGGTGCGGTTGATGACTGAATTTTATGTTTGGTTTGCAAAGGGATCATCACCATAAGTGACTCGCTATCGTGATGTGGTTCAAATAAGTGTTAACTAAATAGTAACGTCTTTGAATTCGGCAGTTAGTGATGTTGTCTCTAATTTCCGAAAGGGATATCATTTCCTTTGAAGTTGCAAATCCGCCCTGCTGACAAGTATCGAGAAGCATCTAATTCCACGGCATACTGTCAGTAACCTCTAACTAATTAAAACCCATTAAGATAGTCACCAACCGAATCCTTAATACATCAACAGGTAGCACAGAAATGATAAATAAATATTCTCTGAGTGTGTCTGCGGTTCACTGGTATTTTTTTATTTTTTTCTATTTTTGGTTACAGCTTGATTCCGTACCGTATTTTTGGTACAAATATGGAATTTTCAGCATGTGATATCGGTATCCCGAATTTTGCACGCCGACCATAGATATCAAGTTTTCGTCGGCAGGGGATCCAACCCTGGACTATGTGCATGGTCTGTGAGAGTCCTAACAGCTGTGCCACCGACGCACACTTACTACAAACGTTTCCAAGTGTTCGATTCCCAGCCGACGCACTCCTAAACCTCGCCTAGCTATTATTAATACCTGTAAACAGGAAAGGTTGACTATAAGAATAGCAACTATATCCGAATAAAAACACTTTAGGCTGCTGAAGCTTCAATCTCAAGCTCGAAGCCTAAAATTCCACCCAGAACGCCGAGGAATGGAGGAGAAAATTTCACCTAGACATATAAAGTCTTATTTCCTCAGGTTACGTTAACCTGTAGCATATTTTTCCCATTTAGATTCCTCTAAACAGTCAGTGCTATATGAAGCTTTTCCTGATTCTTCAAAAACTATTTTAGTTTTTTTAACGATCATAACAAAGTTGAATTTTTGTATCATATCAAAATACTTCAACATAATCGTTTTGAGAAACTCTTATCAGGCATTGATTCAGTGCACCAGATAACTTTAAACAAATGGTATCTTAGAAATAATTTGTTGAAGGAATGTAATGTGGACAATATACCTCAAGTAGTGCTTCGAAAAAACACATTAAGGTTGGTATCACAATAGGCATGGATGAAAGGCAAGTTCATTTTATGACAGTTAAGGATAGTTATATCTAGAGAGTTATCATTGTCTCAACCACAGGCAGTCAGAACGGATGAGGATGGCAAATCGAGAGAGTCGGGAGGGCGAGAAACACATTCATCAACGTGAAACAACCAATCTCGAAATCTTCGTCACTTAACATCAACAACAAAATTCGGATTTTCAATACAAGCGTCAAGTCAGCCAGTTCTTCTATACGCATCAGAAACTTGGCGGGTGGGTCACAAGGAATATTTCCAAACAGAAGGCTATTGCAGACCTTGATCAACCAACAAGTGTCTTCGCTGGCTCTATACTGAAGATCAGATGACCAGCCGGAAAGAATCACCAACAAGAAACTATGGATGTGAACAAACAAAACAAGAACCAATCGCCAACCAACAAATATGCAGGAGAAAGTGGAGGTGGATTGGACACTTGCTAGCTGAAGAAGCCGCTGGGTGACATCGCGCGTCAAGTCTCGAGTGGAACACGAAAGGGAAGCGGCGAGTGAGATGTCAGTGCAAGGGTGACGTGGAGGAGATTGTGTGAAAAGTTGAGGAGTTGAAACAGTATGGACTAACATGGATGCAGATGACAAGTAAAGCAGAAGACAGAAGCAAGTGGAGACGTGCAGTTGAGGCGCTATGTTCCACTGGGAACCCAAGGGGACAATAATAATAATGTTGCGTAAAAATTATAATATCGGAGGTATGCTTGTCTGAATACCATTTTCCCCCACCGGCAATTTCTTTTAATATGAGATTAGCTTGAAAAATAGTTAAAAGTGGTCAGTATAAGCCATTGTAGCATTCCATGAAGTGGCTGACTGCTGGTTCGACTGACTCACGGCCTAGACAGGGCTACCAGAAGATAGAAATTATTAGCCATAAATTGTTATTAACGTGTTTAGAAAATCTGCTTAATGGCGTGGACGTTTCACCTATTTGCCACCCTTCAGACTATAAAAACCCTGATTGTTCTTCCTTTAGTTTTCCTTTCCAAATGAACAGCTCCATAGACTGTGACATCATTATGTGTCTTTTCTCGGTCTTTTGTATGCATCCTTTTCTGAAGTGTAAAAATTTAAAATGATGAACGCATCTGTGAAAATTTCTGCGTTTGAATCAAAAACATTTCATAATTAGAAGCCATCAACACTGCAGAAAATATAACCATCCCTAATAATACATATTTGCGCTTATACTGGTTTTAGGAAAACAACTGGACATGAAAGCTATATATACCGTTTCAAATCAGATGTTTTTGATGTAGTTGTGTTCTCTGAGCTGGTGGATGGTTTATTTTCGAAGCTTTCGTTGCCCCTACTTGACAACATCTTCAACGCATACTTCAGTTTGATGAAGCGAGCTTTTAGATTCCTCCACGAGTTTATTGGTCACATCTCCAGGTGGTGACCTTAAACGTGATTGGCTGTTTTGTGTGTTTCCACACACTCTAGGCTACTTGTTTTGGTACTGGTTGTTTCCTTGACTTGAACCCTGACCCTTTGCGTGTGAGATTTCCTTCCTATCGGTTGGTAAATTTGGCCCATCTCAATGTATCTATTGATTGATGATCCTCTGGAATGACAGGAAGGCTTCTAAAAATTCTATAGCACTCTTGGTGTCTCCTCTGTCTGTCTTATATTTGGACGTTGGTTGTTTCAGTCGAATTGATGTCCGTGGTTGTCTTTATGCAATGAGTGATATGAGCGGGGAAGGAGGTTGTCATGTCTTTTGACGGCTGGTTTATGATCATGGACAAAGGGGACGTTCACTTTGGCCAATGTAGTGTTTTTTGGCAGTTGTTACAATTTATTTCGCAGATGATGTTGGTTTTATCTTCTTTCGTTGTTGAGTCTTTTCGCTGACATAGAAGTGAGTGAATTGATTTTGTTGGTTTGTGTGAGACGTCAATTCCCAAATGTATGAAGAGTCTTGCAGTGAATATTGAGATGTCCTTTATATATGGAAGGGTGATTATCTTTATGCTTTCTTTGGGGGCCTTTGATTTGGTAGGTCGGCTCGTGGGTATATGTCTTTTGATAAAGTTCCATAGATATCCATCCATGAGATATCCTTCTTCAATTTTCCTTAAGGTGGAAAGGAGTGCTTCAATGAAAACTGGCTTTCTTGAATAGTGTTTGTATACAATTGCTTTGTATGTTATTGGACTGCTGCTGTTATAATTCAGGATTGGGTCTATGTGAGTTGATTTTCTATAAACTTGAGTTTCTGATTCCCTTGTGGTTGTTCGCTTGACTAAAATCTCCAAATATGAGATTCCTCTTCTCTTCTGAATTTTATGTCGTTGAAGACGTTTATTAAATTGTGAATTTTATCCAACCTGTTTCTTTTGATTTTTACAAATGCGTCATCTACGTAACGTATCCAAATCTTGGCTTTGATCTTTGGTATGATTATGTTTTCGAGTCTTTGCATCACTTCTTCCACAATCAAACCTGATATTGGCGATCCCATGGATGTTCCTTTAACTTGTTCATATATTTGACCGCTGAATTGAAAGATATCAACCTAGAAATACGAATGTGGAAACAAAATTATCAATCAATAACTAACGAATATGTTACGCAATATAGCAAGAACTAAATAAGACTATATTCATTCCATTGTCTATGAGCTTGCCTTGTAACCAAAAGGTCCTGAGTTCGAACCCTGGTGGGGTGTGTACTGATGAAGATTCCCAAATTAGGACGAAACAGCTGTCCAGTACTCCCAGCTGGTTTTCCAATGGTTCTCTAACTAATGCCAGCTCATGATGAAATCCTGAGACCAATCAAATCCCTACAAACCAACACTTGAAAGTACTTTGTTAGGCATAGGTTTATGCATTCCAACCAACTTGTGTGTTACATTTTTGATTGTTGTTGGAGGTGTTCATCGTTGCTGAGTAATCACTACACTGTCTATTTTGCTACTTCCTGTCCAAATGAGGTATATAATACTATGAAATCGAATAATAGCATTATTTCTTGGTCATCTATTTGAATGACTCTGATTTCCTCTAGAAAATGGATAGCAGAGCTGAAGGATAAAATTGGTTGTAACCGGATATTTAGTTTGTGTATTTTAAGTCTGCCATAGAATCAGAGTAGGACTACCCATTGGATTTCATTCGCCATTGGTCCTGTTTTGTGATCTGAACTAATCTGGTAAACTTGTTTAAGGTTCTTTGGATGCGGTTGTCTAATGTTTGTATAGAATTTGTTGTAATTTGTTGAAACACATCAAAATCATCCTCCTAAGCTAAACATCTTCTCAATTATACCTAAATCAGATGGATTTATTCTATATCATCCACTCGAATATAAAATTAATGAAATGAAGGATGTTTTTCTCAAAATGTATTATTACATAATTTTATCAAAATATCACACTATTCAGCTGATTATACTCTAGTATCGATTTCCAGGGATTAAGTTGATTTCAAATTAGTGCATGAAGTGATTCCAGTTAGAGAATCACTGAAAACCAGGGACTGAGAAAAAGTAGTTGAGTACTGCCTGGTTTTCAATAATTTCCTAAGTGAAGTCATTTCCGATAGAGAAAGAAAGATCAGATTTGCAGTATAAAATGTGATATCATCATTCTACTTCACAGGTTTCCATCAGCTAACTGCAAACTACCCGAAATTACAATGGTTATAAATAATAAAAATTCATACTTCATTGTTTGAAAGTTAATTAAGGAAATATTATAAGGTGAAAACATCTAGAATGAACGTATTTTTATTTTTTTTAATTTTTGATTACAGCTTGATTCTACACCGTATTTTTGGTACAAGTATGGGATTTTCAACATGGATATCAGTAGCCCAAATTTCGCAGGCCGACCATTGATATCAGGTGTGCGTCGGCAGGGGATCGAACCTCGGACCATGTGCATGGTCGGTGAGAGTCCTAACCACTGTGCCACCGACGCACAATACAGTTAGCTTCATTTTAATTTACCATCAATTTATATACTATCAAACTATGAAAGAAAAAAGAGGCGAGAGAAGACAGAAAACAGAAAAATCTAATAAACAGTGTTAGCTTGTACGCCAACATGGGAACTCTAGAAGGTTAAAGTTCATCAAATTGAGAACTTGCTTAGTGAGCTGAGCTCACAATTAGCGATTAATCAGTATAATGGAATTGATCTGGTTTGATAGTTTATAAATTGATGGTGAATTAAACCAGTTGGGTGCAGCAGGTCGGGTGTTTGGACATTGGCTAGGGGTCGCGCTATGTCGTGAATTGGCAGAAGTTAGAATTCATGGGCAGTTGGATCGGGTCAGAGTGGCGTAATGGTATACAAGCTCACCAGAATGTCCTGGATTGAAACACCGGTGGGTGCATACTGCTGATGATTCCCAGACTAGGATGAAATAGCTGTCTCTAACTAATGTCAGTCATGATGAAATCCAATAATTGTAATACTTATATTCCGGATGCTCTCACCTTATAAATTTTTTCACTATTACCTTTCAAACAGTGAAGTATGAATTTTTATTATTTAGAACCATTTTAATTTCAGGTTGTTTACAGTTAGCTGATGGGAACCCGTGAAATATAATGATGATATCACATTTTATACTGCAAATCTGGTCTTTCTTTCTCTTTCGAAATTATTCAATGGAACCAAATGTATGAAGTCAGTTCGTTATTTAACTTGAAATATTACTGTAATCAAAGCAGTAAACATTGTTTCAATGGACTATGCGTTAAAAGGCCTTTTTTAAAGCTCCATATTTTCATATTTAAAATTGCGTATCATCGAAGTTCGTTATTTGGATGATATTCGTTATATTATCAAACTGAGAAATACATGTTAGAAAAGAACATACCTGCACTCAAAAACTCGATTTCTCTTGAAATGCCTTCAGCTTTTTCTGCAATAGTGATTAAATGACCAATTACTTCTTCGAGGCTAATTATTTGAGAGAATAAAAAATTTTTTAAAAAAAGGATTCACTATTTAAATCATACAAAGTTACACATCGTCTCATTAATTAATAATGATGATATTTTGTTGATTCTTGACAGTTTCTTACTATCTAAATCGATTTTAATCTCAGAATGTGCCGACAAAGTTCACCTACTATAAATATTCCAAAATTCAGCTATAATTTCATGTGTTCCACCGAATAAGCAGTTTTAAAAAATTTAAAGACTGAAGTCACTTATTCAAAAAAAATATGGCAATTAATCTAGGTGTCAAACATCTTAGGAATCCTATGATGTTCTCGGGGGTACTCAAGAACTTCTAGTCAGTTGACAAGTAGACATAAATCATGCTTACCAATCAACAGAGGGTTGGTTAGTCACACGATCAAGTGGCAAACATCAAGTCACCAAGAAGATCCATACTGACAAATGTGAATGTGACGAAAGGAGAGTCTCGGAAAAACTAGTCACGGCCATTGGTTTATCAGGAGAGAAATAATTACACTTCTGAGAAATTCTTGAAGCTTATTCTCATTGAATTTAGCTCTGAAGATGTTGTCTAGAAGGATAGGCAAGCTTTCGTCTAAGACTAACCAGCCCGTAGAACAGAACTGCATCGAAAAATGAACACTATCTCTATCCCTTGTCCAAAATTCTTTTCATATTTCTAAAGGTATTACTAACTTCACTTCAAATAGACAAATTCACTTTCATTCCTTGTGATGTAATTTATTCACTCCTTTGGCTTTGTTTACTTAAAAGCCCTATCGTTTGTTTTAATATTTCAGTACTTAAATTGTCTTAGTTTCTGTGCAGCTTTTCAGAATGGACCAAAATAAAATTTAGGTTGTATTATTTTGTTGAAGTTTCTATCGCAGATTTAATTGAATCTCATACACCCCGAATCTACTGTTAATCTACCGCAGACTTAAACTTTTTGGATCTTCTCACGAAGAATATATTATTATTTGGGTTCTAACGACAGAAATACACCAACTAGAACGCTAAGAAATATTCAGCAGATTTCTTTATTTTCGACTACGTAACTATACAACATATTCCGACATTCTTATCAAACACGTGATTTTCATGTACATTTGTATGAGATAACAGTATGAAAGTACTAGACTGAGATAATATAAGTCAAAATGTTTATTAAAGGAGCGGAATCGTAGATAAGATGTAAGAAAATAGAACAGTGAAAGAGTAAAAGTAGGGCTATGAAAAAGTACCCCTAGTTTTAAAATTTCATCATCATGGCAGGCTAAGTGTAATAAGCAATAGTTTTTGAAAAAACTTAAAACAGGTTTGGGCTATTTTGTGGTTAGATCTTTGACAAATTTCAGTATGTGAGGCAAAGCTATCTTTATGTGGGTTTAAACGCCTTGTTAAAATCAACTTTATCGCCTGCCTATATAATGTGCTTTTCAACAGATCACTTAAGGCATCTATTTCCAGACTTAATCGGGTTAAGCGATTTGATTTCTTCATGAAACCTTCAACCTCAAAAAAAGAGAAACTATTCATCTGCAAAGGTTCTATAAGCCGTAAAATCATACTTCTTAGGACGCGGAATAGTGAACGCCAAAAATGATTTAACGTCCGTCACCAAGAAAATAATGCGTACAAACTTGTAATTCAAAGGTAACATAGCCTCCATTATCATTAAAAGAAGAATCTCAAACGAAATTTTTTGAAGCATTGTTGAGAATAGCACTTTTTGGTCGAAAATTACTGTGTGATAACCTGTGGTCGGTGGCACAGTGGTTAGGACTCTCACCGACCATGCACATGGTCCGAGGTTCGATCCCTGCCGACGCACACCTGATATCTATGGTCGGCCTGCGAAATTTGGGCTACCGATATCCATGTTGAAATCCCATACTTGTACCAAAAATACGGTGTAAATCAAGCTGTAATCAAAAATAAAAAAATGAAGGAAAATATCCCATAGCTGACCAACTCTGTGTGGGTTAATCAATTCATCTGCTCGTATGGAGCTACATATATCAGTCGTTTGACTCGAATTGTATCCAGGAGGGTTATTATCATTATTATATCTTTTAATTCCTGAGGGAACATAGAGCTTCAGCTGCCATCTCCAATGCCTTCTGTTTTCTGCCAACTTTTTCACCCAGCTCGAAATCCGCCCAATGCTTTCATCTCCCTTCACATGACCTCCTCTAAGTCACCGTTGCACTGACGACCAACTGACCGCTTCCCTTTCAGGTTCCACTCGAGCGATGGCTTGTCTATTGATGTCACTTGATGGTTTGTTTCCTCAGCGTATGGCCAATCCACCTCTATTTCTTCCTGCCTATTGCTGATCTTTTCTGGCCGCTCATCTAATCAGGAGTAATGAGCAAAGACAACTGTTAATGAAGGTCCTTAGTTTGTTCAGAGTGCTCTTTATGACGCGCCAAGTCTCTGACCGTGTATAGTAGCACTGACTTCACATTATGGTTGAAAATTCGAATCTTATTTTTATGCTGAGTGCTGTTGACCTCTACACAGACTTGAGAGCTTTGCTTTTCCGATTCTGGCTTTGATACCCTCGTCAGTTCCATCCTCCTGTAGTTGAAAAGATGCTTCCCAGGTAGGTAGGTAGGTAGGTAAAGGAGGTTGTTTCTTTCAGTTTTCTCCCATTTATGCTGGCTGGTTGTTGTTGTTGCTGTTGGTGGTGTTGGCCAGGAATCGTTGCCACCTCTCTTCATCTATGTTCACCTGAAGTCCTATCTTTGATGCTTCTTCTTCCAGCTTGTTGCTTTTCACTTGCATATCCTCCAGTTTGTGGGAAATCAGACATATGTCATCGGCGAAGTCCAGGTCCTCCAAGTTGTTTTTGTGTGGGTCCATTTTATGCCTGTTTCCTCATTGTTCGTTGTCTGTCTCATTGTCCAATCTACCGCAATCAGGAAGATCACTGGCGAAAGTAGACAGCCTTACATCACTCCCGTCCTCATTTCGAAGGCTTCCGTAAATTTCCCGTTGTGGATTACTTGGCATAGAGCATTGTCGTAAAACTGTTTGATGAGATATATGGTTACAAAAGTAGTGGAAGAGGAGGTATAAGAAGCATAATCATTGAGCCTCTGGGCGATACGGGTCACTGTGTCTCTACAGCCTCTTCCCTTAAAGTCATCTACAAGGCGTAAAATAATTTGATGAAATCATCATGTATCCGACTCATCTGTATTGCTGAAGATTTGGCTATAGAAATAGGGAAGCCAGATCTCTGTATGCAGGAAAAAAGTTTGTCCAACTCTTCGAATTATATTTTACCTCTAATTATTCTTCATCTTATTATTCATTTTGTATACCCTTTACTTATTAAGTCGATTGTTATTATTATTATTCTCACTTTGAACTGTTTCCGGTATTATTTCATTTATCCCGCCTGTTATTCTAAATCACACTTTTTCCGCATTGTTAAAATCCTATGTTAATAAATTTTACACCATGTGATGCAACATTTTTATTTTCAAAAGAATGTTTACTGAACAAAGAATATTCTTTTCGATAACTTCATCAACAGGTTCTACAGTTTTTCTGTACATAATAGTGAATGATTTAGTGTTATTAACAACATTAATGTTGTTGTTTAAATAACCTCGAATCATAACATCGAATAATAATAATAACGATGGATTACACTTTGATAGTATCATCATAGCAATACACTGAATATCAAACAGGCAAATTAGGAAAAATTATGATACAAATTCTTGAATTTATGTCTCCATTGAAGGCCAGTGTATTAGCAGTATCTAGAATTGTTTCTTCTGCATTACAGAGCACCGGAGAATGTTTCAGGTGAATCGCAATATCCTCTGCTGTTTAGAGTATACGCGCTCTCTGGATGTTTTTGACAATTTATTTGGTACCCTATAGATGATGGAGTAGGATACTTCAATATTAACTCAGTGACTGGTTTGGACCAGGTGTTCTAATATTCGAGCTATTGATGCTTCTCACTGCACCTGTATTTAACCACATTGGTAGATGTTCCCGAATACGAGAAATGAAGTTCCTAGAGCAACAGTCAATATGATTCGTCCCTACAAGCTCTATTGAATTGGTAGGTACAACTAGAAAGGGGATAGTCTAGATACTTCATCTTTCAATTCGGGAGTCATCAACAGTAGTATGGAAAATAAGACTTGCAATTTGCCAGCATCAAAAGTTCTTTAAATAGATTTTCTTAACTTGACAGTAATTATTTCTCTAGATATATCACCATTGATTTGCAATCGTATTTATAAGGGCTTCTTTGATTCGATACTAGTAAGTAGTGTGATGTGTGTCTAGTCCTTTTGTTTGATGCATACTGAATTCTATCAGTTAGCTTTTGGAATGTGGCCAATATTCTAGGTAGCTCTCTATCACGGTTCACACTGATTTGATTTGACGACTGCCAACTAACACGAACGTAGGTCTGAGACACCTGCCGACTGCCTACAGCCATCTAATATCTAGTGGATTATTCCACACACTTTTAAAACCGTATATATGTGATTGTACAGCTTGATAATAAATTTCTTGGAAAGAGTCTCTTCTGAGAATCTAATACCAACAATATATATATATATATATATATATTGTTGATATTAGATGGTGAGAGGCAATCGGCAGGAAGCCTTCGACCTAGATTTCGTGCTGGTTGGGCACTCATCAGCAAGGCGTATCTGAAGGAACTGATGTCCCTTCTGAGATTCAAACCCGCCTCACCCAGTGCTACACTAGTTACTGACTAGTGTGCAATCAAAAATATCCAATACAGTCCTATAGGAGGTCAATCGCGAGCCTGAATAGCTCAGTGACTAGGGTGACTGCAGCACTGGGTGACGCGGGTTCGAATCTCAGAAGGGACATGAGTTCCTTCAAGGTTGATGAGTGCCAACCAGCACGAAACGTAGGTCGAAGGCTTCCTGTGGCCGATTGCCCCCAACCATCTAATACCAACAATTCACAGTGCACCGTAATGGCGAGCAACCTAGTGGCATGGTGGCCATATTGCAAGCTTGACTGATAGAATTCAGTCTGCAGTGAAGATAGGACTAGACACACAATACACTAGTTACTGACTAGTGTGCAATCAAATATATACATATATATGTAGGTTATTTCACGATGAACTATTCACCACTGGCCAACACATTTTGTCACACAAATAATATTTGTTATCATTTTATAACAAATCTGTGTTGGTTTGTAGGGATTTGTTTGATTGATTTGATTAATAGCGGTTGTGCCATGTCGTGAATTTGCAAGAGTCTGGCCATTGAATCGGGTCCCAGTGGCCTAATAGTCTAAGAGCTAAATCACCTTGTAACCAGCAGGCCCTGGGTTCGAACTCCCGGTGGATGCGTACTGATGAAGAGTCCTAAACCAGGACGAAAACACCTATCCAGTACTCCTAGGTTTTCTCAGTGGTTCCCTAACGAATATCAGCTCATGAGGAAATCCTGTAACCAATCAGTCTGTTTGTTATCCTACATAAAATTAAATCCATTTCATAACCGGCTTCACCTGTACGAAGAACAAATATTTGAGAGTTGTAAGAATATTCTTCGCTCAGATTGACTTTTATTTCATGATACGAACATATCCCACACTCTAGAATAGATACATATATACACATACGTGTAGGGTGAGCATAGGACTTACCGATTTTTAATTTGAGATATACCCGCATTAACTGTTTTTCCTTTGTCAAGTTTTATTTTCCTTAGAAAACTGCGTTTACAGTTCGCTTCAAGTAGTCGAACTCTGCGTAATTCATCTTCTTCATTATCTTCACTCTGTTCTTCTGAGGCTAATCGTAGTGTTTCAGATGCTCTAGATCTGTTTGCATGAAATTTTGACTTTTCAGATGACAATTGTTTTGAAAAGTGAATATTCGATCCTAAACTAGGTCGTCTATTGGACGTTCTATGAATGTAAATAATTTTGCTCCATCATCTCTTCTTTCATTATCTGTATCCTCTTCAACACTGATGTCTAGATTACCTTTATCCTTTGATCTTGAATTGAACTCTATCAACAACAACAACAACAAAAATCAATAGTGAGATTGAATTCATTTGGATGTACTGCTCGCTTTAAAAAAAACAGACATTTTCATTCCTTGAGTTCTGAGAAATGATGTTTCATACTCAACCTCCTCTCTTTATTCGGTTTATTATTGGTTGATAAATTAAATGAGACTTACGGATGCGCTATCCGACAAGTGAACCCGGACAACGTGGTTAGCGTGTTAGCAAACATTCTGTCTTTCGACCGCTGGTACGCTTGTGGTGAGAGCAGGCTGCTAGCCGATCGGTTGACATTAATCTACGTCAATGTCTAGGTTACTAATATGGGCCGTGAGAAAATATGAACAAGGCTGTTTCAACAACCACTCACAGCAAACTTAAAGTGGGCAAATATGATTCGCAGATAGATGGCTGTACTTTCCGAGGGACTCGAAAACAACCAATCAGAGGACTGCGTTTGTCTACTTGACTAGGCTATAATAATGTATGTGAAATTTATATAAATACGTGTTGATTTCCGTAATAAAACGATCTGTTGCCTGGCCCTTGTCTTCTGTTGTTACACGCTTTTTAAAATCAGTATTATTATTAATTCCTTTAATTCCTAGAGGAACATAGGCTCAGCTGCCCATCTCCAATGCCTTCTGTTTTCTGCCAACTTTTTCACCCCGCTTGAAGTCTGCCCACATGCTTTCATCTCCTCTTCACATGACCTCCTCCAAGTCACCCTTGCACTGACGACCAACCGATCGCTTCCCTTTCAGGTTCCACTCGAGCGTTGGCTTGTCTATGATGTCACTTGATAGTTTGTTTCCTCAGCGTATGGCCAATCCATCTCTATTTCTTCCTGCCTATTGCTGATCTTTTCTGGCCGGTCATCTAATCAGGAATATGAGCAAAGACAACTGTTAATGAAGGTCTGTAGTTTGTTCGGAGTGCTCTTATGATGCACCAAGTCTCTGACCGGTGTATAGTAGCATTGACTTCACATTGGAGTTGAAAATTCGGATCTTATTTTTGATGCTGAGTGCTGTTGACCTCCACACAGACTTGAGAGTTTTGCTTTTCCGATTCTTGCTTTGATATCCTCGTCAGTTCCGTCCGCCTGTAGTTGAAAAGATGCAGGTGAAGGAGGTTATTTCTTTCAGGTTCCTCCCGTTTATGCTGGCTGGTTGTTGTCTGTTGTTGTTGATGTTGGCCGGGAAACGCTGCCACCTCTCTTCATCTATGTTCACCTGAAGGAAGTCCTATCTTTGATGCTTCTTCTTCCAGCTTGTTGCTTTTCACTTGCATATCCTTCAGTTTGTTGGCAATCGGGTGTATATCATTGGCGAAGTCCAGATCCTCCAAGATCTTTTATAGAAACAGAAGAAATTCACTAAACTCCACATAAACATTAAAGGTGAGCTCTTTTCGGTTGACAATAGCACAAATTTTTAGTCACATATACAAATGCAACAAACTTTTGTGGCTTATGTTTCAAGTTCGACTGTAGAATCATGTCATCTGAGAACCGTTGAAAATCAGAAGTACTAGACAGTTGTTTCGTCCATGTTTGGGGCTCCTCAGCCGTATAAAAATCGAACCCATGACTTTCAGTTTACGAAGCCAACTCTTTAACCACTTTGGATGAAGTTCAGCATTGGTCATAACTTCTTGCTAAAACTCCAGTCAACTTCGTCCTCTAGTCAGCCATCAAACAGCATCATATTCGTTTCCATATGTTAGTTAACATTGGCTTCTTTGATGCACGAATCACTAAGGTTGCACTATCAGCCTTTATGTCTGTCATATTTATTAGCCTAACTTACAGTCAGTTAAACAAAATAGAACTACAAAATAATAAAGACCTAATGAATATTTCGAAGGTTGAAAAAAGTCGGATCCATTATTATTTTAAGAGTGACAATACATTATAGTAAATATTCCTATTTCGTCATTTTGCTAGTTATACTGAACATATAATTATGGATCTTCACTTCCGGATTTCCTTAACGGTTAAACACGAGGAAAAGAGTCTAATTATAGAGTCTATTTCGGTGTACCTTGTAGACAGTGATAGCAGAGCTGATGTTTGTAAAATATTCGAGGTCATGTCTATCAGCTCCATTTTGGTTTATGAGCTTGTCTTCTAAACAAAGTGGAAGCCATCAGAATAGATATGTGAAGAAAAGAAACATGCACGTTCAGAATAAATTCGAATAGCTACTTTGCTCAACCCAGCTATCATTATAAGAATGTAAAAAATCTCCAGCAACTAAGGCCATTTGAAAGTTACCATTGTTATTATTATTCCGTCTACTCCACCTTTAATTTTTTATGTGATAAGTGTCAATGGACGTGAACATTGAACGTTTGTTTATCGGAACTGGTAGCTATTGGCAGGCAACTCGAAAGCGCGAATGGTACAACCGTATGCAAGTTGGAAGAAAACGAAAGAATACGAATAAAAGTACACTGGATTTACTTGTAAAACATTTGTTTATAGACACTCGTACTTATCCAGACTTTAACTGTCAAACAATACAACTTTCTTAAAGTACTAGTAGTTTGCATTTAAAGTCGAGAAAGTTATAGTAATTATCAGTTCGGAGCGTCTTCGCAAATAATAGGAACTTAAGGTTAAGTTCCTTGACAAAAAGTTCTCCTTTATTTGAACAAAACATATAAGCGAACAATATTGTTTTCAATTAGATCTTGTTCAGGCTTTACTCTAATTTATTTTCCGAAACCTGATCAGTTTTCAAAAGTATTTCTAACCTTTCACTATTGCACAGTGTACGCTGTAACTCAGTGATTTCGAGAGATGCTACAATCTGTGATTTTTAAATCCAAAAATACGACTTAAATTTTTTTCCTTCATGTCAGTGCATTCAGTGATAGCCACATGCAGTCTGACAACACTTAGAACAACGTACGGAAATTAAGGTCGAGTTATCCTGGTTGACCGTAAATAGCTGTGGAATCCAGTACTCTCATCCTAAATAGGACGAAATGCGCATCCTGGATTCCATAGCTAGCCACTGTCAACCAGAACAAATCCACTTTGACAAGGCAATACCTTAATTTTCACAGTTTCTGTCCATTACAGTATAAGAGAGGCTTACTGAAGTGTGTATTTAAGAGGATTCAGCGTATGTGCACGGCTAATGTTATAAACAAAGAAAACAAATTATTGATGAATACTCTTGTTGAAAACGGATATCCTTTAAAATTTTTAAACAGGTGTAGAAGTCAATTAGTCTCTAAACCTACAATTCATACTGCCCTTAAGAAAAATGTCTCCATCAAATTACCATATAATGGGGAAATAAACAGTAGGATTTTGAGAGGAAGGTTGAATTCCATCATCCGTAGAACCTATTATGCAGCTCAGCTTGTAATTGCCGAGAAAGCTAAAAATATTCTCCACTACAAACCTCAAAAGTGTCACATCCCACACAATTTACCATTTTTCGTGTGTGTGTGTGTGGTCACATAACATAGGGAGGAGTGATCATGCTTTGCATGTGAGGGTGGGAGAGAATGTCCCAAAATGGCTAGAAAAACAGATGAATTGTGAAAAACCAATAGATGCAGTGTTAGACTATCAACTTCTTCTATAGCTGAACGTCTAATCGAGATGAACCATAAGATTGATGTTAACTCGGCCTTTAAGGTCATCTACAAAAACAGTCAAGGGCGCTTATTGAAATACACTGAGACTATAGCTATTCATAAACTTAAGACCCCCCCCCCTTGTGTGTATTCAAAAACAGTTTATTATTACTCTTAACCTACCTTGGTAATCCTTATTTGATTGGATTACCAAACTTTGTGTTAATCATTCTTAAATCCTTCTTTTTGTCATTTTGTTTAATTTAACTTTTCCATATGTATATTGACTTGACAAGTAAATGTTGAGGGATCAGATTGTTCGAATTGTATAGCGCAAATACACCACATAGTTTTTCAAATAATCTCCGTCTTCTAATAACGCTATCAATCGTTGATCCCTAAACATCATTGAAGCGTACATAATAAAAGCCGACTTGTTAACAGAGTCATGTAGCAATTCAGTTCAACATACTCAATAACCGGCCTTCTTGGTCTAGTGGATAATTCCTAGCCCATTTGAAACTTTAGTTGCAAAGTTCTAGTCTCATTTGAAATGGTATAGCTCACTGAGAATGCATCTACTGACTCATAAACGGTGAAAAAAATGCACTCTTTGAATTCCACTGTTAGTCATTATAAACTAACACAGAATCATTTTACTTCTTATTGACCAACTTACTCTTTCGTTTAATTTTACGTTGTTTTATTATTCGTATACAGTAGAGAACAAATTCAATAAAAGCTTGAAATGCTGACAATGGAACAGGTACAATTGGCTTTTTATTGAATTCAACAACCATTGAATACATATTAAATTTCCATAATTCAATTGAATGAAATTCAATTTCTTCAAAAACATTACTACATAATGAAAAAAAAAGAAACACACAATGAAAAATACCTCCAATGGAAAATAAAATAAAAGCAGGTGTCATCAACTTTGGTTTTTCCACCACTTTGTACTTCATTCCTGATATTTTTCAAATGAGAAGGAGAAAAGTGAATATAATACCACTGCCTTGAGTAAGACAGAAACAAATTATTGTGTAGCTTGAAAATCCCCATTGAGTCATTGAGAAAAAAGAGAATATTTATATACAATTATTTGTGTGTATGTGTGTGTGTGTACACGAGGTTTGTCACGTTTAGATGATTGACCAGGTAATACAAGAATGATCTAATATAGAAACAAGGTTAATTAGACAGCAACTAAAGTAAGATTGAGTTAGTTAGTAAGTTAGATGACGTGATATAATTGACTAAAATGTCTCAACTTAGGTCAGGGCAGCAACAGAAGTAATTACAAGTAGAAACTAAGTAGAAGTGGGGTTTAACAACTGCCAACCCGCGATTCAGTTCACGCTGGAGAAGGAGTCCAACTCCAAAATATCCTTCTTGACATCCAACTAACAAGACGAGAACAGATGGAACACTGAAGAGATCTATCCACAGAAAGTCGATGTGGGATGGAAAGCCTACTAAATTTCACAATTGGGTACCCTTATACACTAAACGAAACCTGATCCGTTCATTCAGCTTCAGAGTTTGCAGATTTTGCACCCCGGACACCATAGAAGATGAACTGGACAGTCTGAAGAAAATCCTCGTCGAGAATTGTTATCCAGAAAGATTTATTGCAAAATCTATGAATCCTAGAGCACGAAATCCGCCCATGCTCAGCGTCCCGAAAAAAACTACCCTACATGAACCTTCAATTCAATGGAGATATATTTGCGGAAACACTTAAAAATCGACTGTCGCGCTCACTTAAGAAGACCTTCTTCGCAGCTGACCTACAACTAACCTTCTCCACAAAACCTATGATTCATGTGAACGTGAAAGATAAGCTACCAGTGCTAGCCTCATCACCTGCTCGTGTGGAGCCAGATATGTCAGCCGTATCCAGCGTTCGCTTTCCAAACGTATCACCGAACACTTGGCAACATGGTTTTATAAAGGAGAAAAACGATGCACCCGTAATTCCATCATAGAAGATCCGATAGATTCCGGACACCAAGCTACACCGCAAACAAACTTCAACGTCGTCTACAGAATACAAAATAGTCTTCCTAAAGGTGTACGAATCGGACTTCTTCAAACTGCAGAAGCAATGGCGATTCACTTGCTAATCCTTGAACTCTGCATACAGAAGAAGTTCGTTCAATCACTACACTTGCGATGGGCGTAATCTATCTTATTACTCGACAAGTAATTTCTACCTAATCTTTATTTTTTTGTCTGAGTCTTCATTAGTATTATTTTGTCTTCTCAATTTTGCATTTTCAACTTTCTTGTTCTCTACCCCCACCTGATTTAATTTCTACACCTCACTACCACTGTTACTGACTTGATCAACACTCAATTTCTAGTCATTTATGCTACGTCATCCAACTTATTTACTCAATTTCAGTTCTAATTTAAATGATATTATTATCTACCCCACTTCTACTTAGTCTGTGCATGTAATTACCTCTGTTGCTACCCTGACCTAAGTTAAAACATTTTAGTCAATTATATTACGTCATGTAGCTTACTGACTCAATCTTACTTTAGTTGCTGAATGATTAATCTTGTTTCGATATTAGATCTTTCTTGTATTACCTGATCAATTATCTAAACGTGACAAGCCTCGTGTACACACACATACAAGTAATTATATATAAACGCTATTGTACAGCTATGTGAATGAATTTGCCAGCGAAAAGAGTCTCTTCTCTGAACGTCTTCTCTTTTACAAATGATTGTAGCAAGGAAGTGTCGTCAAAACAAATTCACCTCTATTCTGTATCCTCTTAGTTAACTGGAAAGAATCAAGATGTTTAATTATAATTTGAATTTCATCAAGTCTTGTCTGGGTCTTGTGTTACATTTTACATTAGGAACTCATATGCGTGCTGTAATTATTATCATATCTTTATGTGAGTTTAAACATCCTGTCAAAATCAACTTTATCGCGTGTCTTATGATGTGCTTTTCAACAGATAACTTTTAGCACCTAATTCCAGAGTCACTTGGATTGAGCAATTTGATTTCTTCATGAAACTGTCAACCTCAAATAGGAAACTGTTGCTCGTAAAATAAAATTAGCTAGGATGTGGAATAGTGAAGGCCTAATGTGACTTAACGCCCGTAACCAAAAAAAATAATGCGTACGAACTTGTAATTTAAAGGTGACACAGCTTCCATTATCATTAAACCGAAGTCCCTGAGAAAAGCATTCCCTGAAGCATCGTTGAGAATAGCGGTTTTTGGTCGAAAATTACTGTCTCATAACCTGAAGGTAAATATCCCACAGCTGACCAACTCTGTATGGGTTTTATTCAATTCATCTGCTCGTATGGAGCTATATATATATCAGTCGTTCGACTCGGGTTATATCCAGGAGGGTGCTAGAACACTGTCATGCGTGATTACAAAGAAGTGGAATAGGAGGTATAAGAAGCATAATCATTGAACGTCTGGGCAATACGGGTCAATCTGTCTTTACAGCCTCTTCCTTTAAAGTCATCTACAAGGCGAAAAATAATTTGCTCAAATCATGACGTTTCCAACTCCTCTATATTGCTATAGTTTTGGCCATAGAGAAATAGAGAAGCCATATCTCTGTATACAGAAACGGTTTATATATCATATGTCATATTTGAAGGATTTTAAGGTGTTCTATCACCTCTGGCTGTTTCTGTACTGAGCATTCGAACACCTCATGATCACTTTTATCCACGTAAAATAAGTTTCAGACAAAGGCACACAGTTATTTCAGTCTGACGACATTAAACAATATTTAGTAAATATCCTGTGGCGTAATAGAAGAGTATTTTAATGAAAACATCTGAATTTTTAATGAATTGAGAGGACACACCCAGCTGATGAGTCCTAATATGGCGAAGCACTAGTGGTAAGTTTCCATCAGCCTAGTAAACATTTTAATTCACTGGATTTTTAGCTGTTCTACTGACTTGTAAAAAGAAAGATTATAAAATTGTTAACTTTTCATAACGAGCCAACACCAGTTAGAAAGATCACTGAAAACAAGAAAGCACTGAGCAAAACTGTTTCATTCTACTTTTGGACTGTTCGACAGTGCACTTGTTCTCGTAGCCTGAAAGTCTTCGGTACGATCCCTGGAGATTGCGTGCGTGCGTGCGCACTGATGAAGAGCCCTAAAAAAGGATGAATTAGTTGCGCGATGCTGTCTAGTTCTCAGTGATCTCCATAATAATTGTTGGTTCATTACAAAAATCTAACATTCGCAATTAATCTGAAAATCTCCACAAATCGTATAGTCCCACAATTCTACCAGTCCGCTTCACTTATTTGGGAAGTACCATCAACCAGTGCCAACGGGTTGATCTCTGACGAAATCTCAGCACAAATACAGAGGGCTCGTTTCGCATTTGCCAGTTTACGCCGACTCTGGCGTAGACGAGATGTTCGACTATCGACCAAAGAGTGGGTGTATTGCTCATCAGTCCACTCCGTCCTCCTTTATGGTTGTGAGACCTGGCCACTGAGAGTGGAAGACATGAAAAGACTAGCTAGCTTTCTTTGATCATAGGTGCCTGCGTTCTATTTCCCGTGTAAAGTGGCATAATAAGGTGAGCAACATTGAGGTCAGGCGTAGAGTGCTAGGTAAACAAGGGAAATCAATCGACGAAGTTGTGAAGTTACAAAGACTGAGATGGTTAGGACATGTGTTACGTATGCCAAGTCATCGCCTCCCTCGACGAGCTATGTTAGCGGATATAGGGTCAGGCTGGAAAAAAGCTAGCGGCGGTCAAACAAAAACTTGGCACCAGTCAATGAAATCCACAACAGTTAGTCTAAGCCACGTAGGAAGGTGTAGACTTCCAGGCTGGGGTCCTCGGAACGGTAAAAATCTATGGTTGGAAACAATTGGTGACATGGCTCAAAATCGTTCTCAGTGGCGCAGATGCATCCACTCCTTGTGACTTATGATTTCCAATGAAACTGTTTTGTTCTTCGTTATTACTCCTTTGTCTCACACCTCTGCTCACTGTTTCTATTATGCTTTTCTTGTACTTTCTTCTCTTGCTTCGCGTGCTACACGGAGTGTGGTGACTTGAACTGCCGCACATATGTGCAAAGTTCTATGTCGAAAACAGACAGACAGAGACAGACCAGTCCCTCTGCCCTTTTAGCAGCAAGTATACAGGAAGGACTGAGAGGAGAGCGTCTACTAGATTCTCCGGACATATCCATAAAAGTCTTCGTTTTCAGGGGCAACAATGTGTATTCTCAAGCGCAGTCACCAGACACCTAACTGATACGGGACATATATTGGAAACTAGTCAGGCTTTCAAAGTAATCAACACACACACAGAGAAAAGCATGGTGACTTCAGTTCGCAGAAACTTTGACCCAACCTTTGCATATAGAAAGAGAGTCTGACTAAGGCCTCACTACCTGAACAGGTAATTTTAACTGTTTTGTTCATGTGCTTTAGTGTTTTGTTCTGTTCCATACATAACACTCCATTCAATTTTGATTTTGATTTTCAGTCACTGAGTTGAACTCAATATTAAGGCTCCAAATCTACTAAATTAAATTATTTTACCTATTTTTTATAATTTCACTTTACTATTCACCCCTAACCCTACTGAATTTCGTACCATAATATGTATAAATTAATACTGGGGTTTTATCTTGTATTTCGTCTCCAATCCATCCCTATTTCCAGACGAAATCTGAAACACACCCCCTTGTCTATTCGCTACATAAATAGTTACTCTTTTGAAGTATTGGTTTTTGTAGAGATTTTGTTTTAATGGTTGGAGGATTTCATCATGAGCTGACATCAGTTAAAGAACCATTGGAAGACCTGCAGGTGGTACTGGACAGCT